AAAAAAAAAATTTAAGATTTTTTTGAGAAATTGAACTTTATGATGGAATTATAAGCTATAAATAAACGTTGAAGAGATTTGATCGAAGCTATTTATTCTAAAAAAGGGCTATATCTCCCGAAAACCACAAAAACTTGAAACTGTTTTGTGTCTCCAGCACGCTAAGTCAACCACAGTAAGGCGCAATTTCAGGATATGATCTGCTGTAGATGTACATGCAATACAAACGTATAAAGTATATTTGTCGGGAACCAAATCACTGCAGAAACAACAGGAAGAAATTAAGATTCATATGTATATTAAGGTCTACAAGAGTTTTAAGGATCTCCAGTTGGGTACCAAATAGTAGTTTAGCCCATGACAATAGCACTACTACTACATATCTTATTTTCCAAGAGATCCAACCTGCGAATGCTCCACAAAAGTAGAAAGTTTTCTATCCCATGGCATACTTCTGAGTCCAAGACTTGGCAGTTGTCTCGTACTTGGCTCTGTCAGTCTTGTACATGTGAGCGATCTCAGGTACCAATGGATCATCAGGGTTGGGATCCGTCAGAAGTGAGCATATGGATAACAGCACCTGCAATTGAAGTATTAAATGTCAATTACCTTCTTTTTCCATACTACAAAAAAAAAATTGTAAAACTAAGCAAAACTGCATAAACACTATTTCCTTTCCTTGAACTCATTGACTACTCTCTCTTGACCTCCCAATTTATACAACCCTCGCTCGACTATGCATCCACATCATCTACACTACTGAAGACATGCGCCAATGATGATTTTGTAGGTCATGGATGTTAATATGAACTGCAGACAAGCACCATGTCTAAAGATATCAAACCATAATTGACTTCTTGTCAGCTTTGGGTTGCTCCTGAGTGTTTAAGTATGATATCTTGAGGATGTTTGTTCCAGAAACCAGGAGAAATAAGAGGGCATAGTCACCTTTGATATGGTCAAAGCAGGGCTCCACTGCTCCTTGAGGATGTCGAGGCAGATGCTACCATTGCTGTTGACATTTGGATGAAAAACTTTGGTGCGAAAAGAGACCTGCAAGGTTATTGTCTTGTTAAGAAATTATGAAACTAGATCAGATCAAATATTATTGACTTCAAATAAGTTCCTCAAGAATTTTCCTTGGTAACAACCAACCCTGTTACAGATATTGTAACTGCAAGTAAGATATGACTAGGACCAGGATGATAACATACATGGTAAATGAGACTTAAGTTGATGGATATATTTCAGCATGTTTTTTGGTGTATCAGCATAATAATGATGTAGAGTTCACAATAAACTTGTTATGACCGCTAGATCGCAGGGAAGCAGCAAACTCTTTAAGGTGCAAAGATTAACTTCAGATGTTAATAAAACACTTAACAGATTAATATTGCTGTTGCTTATGTATTTGTAAATGCCATCGCACAATTGTCAAAGGCAGAAGAGCAAGCACCCATTACACATTTAGACATGTGATGGCAATGTATATGTTCCATGTTCTAGTGCAGAACAGCATATATAATCAGACATGCCATGGTGCTTAAGCAGCATGGTGTGGTGTATCCAAGTACAACACTACAACCGTGGCAGCCAGAATTCTAATGAAATATCTACAACAACAAAGCCGTAAGTCCCAACTATTTGAGGTCGCTTATATAGATCTTTTACCGCTATTGAAATCTGTAAAAAGTCATATATTTAGTTAAGTTCTAAGTACTTAATTCTTAATTTATAATTTCTAATAAGATCTTTCTCTATCTCTTCTCATGGCATTGACATGAATCATTTCACCGCTCCTGACTATTACATCTAGAGGTCTCCTAAGCACATGCTCATACCATCTTAAATGATTTTCTTTAATCTTATCCTCTATCGACGCGGTACCTAGTTGAAGTATTTATTTTCCTATCTTTCCTAGTAACTCCACACATCTATCTCACCATTCTCATCGCGACAACACAATCTTCTTGTATATGTTATATTTTTTAACTACCCAACACTCAGATCCACAAAACATTATTGATCTCACAACTATCTCATAAAATTTTTCTTTTAATCTCAAAGGTATCTGATGATCACATAAAACTTCTAACACCCCTTACTATCTTAATCATCGTATTTTTACTTTGAAAAATATCTTCATCGATCTCTCCATCTTGTTGAATAATTGATCTAGGATACCTAAAGTTTTTTAACTTCTAGTCCATCTAACTTATCTATATTATCCTATCTATTCCTAGAATTACTAAAACTGCATCTCATATATTTAGTTTTAGTCTCACTTAATATAAATTCTTTAGTTTCTAATGATTGTATCCATAGTTCAAGTTTATAATTAATTCCACTTAGATTTTCATCAATTAAAATAATATCATTAGCAAATAACAATCTAATGAAATTTCTACAATAACTAAAAATTGCAAGATTGATTTTTTATTAATCCTTTCATAGTTTAATTTAGATATCGATTCCAACATTGACAAAACCTTATAAATAGAATGAAATGAATGACAATGTTTCATCGAAACAACATGTTGTTCATCTCATCGAAGGAAATACAAAGACATCTAAATCTGTGTTACATTAGTTTTATTTTTGGAAAACAAGCTCACCTACAGGAGAATGTTTGTGTCATTTTGTAATAAAACATACAAACTCTACAACCAAAAACGACAGACAATATGGTTTGCAAAGCAACTTTTTTACACAATGGAAAATTTATGAAGTTTGTACGTCAAGTACATTGTTCAGATTTGGTCATCATAATCGTCTAGTTCTTGTTTTACACGAAAGTAAATTTTCCTGATTAAAATACAATATGTTCAATGCAAAGCTTAACACACATCATATGGACAAGTTAAAATTTAAAAAATAAAAAGTACAACTCTCATTTTTATTATTAGAGTTATAGCTCTTACCAAGCATCCTTCAAATTAAAATTAGCACTCATCCTTCAAATTCTGGGACTACAATTCTAAAATATTACAAATAAAAGATATGGTTAATATTATTAGAAATGACCTAAACTGTCATGTTCTTAAAGCAAAATTAGATAAACATACAAATCCACCACCTCAATTACAGATACCTACACCCTATTTGTTTTTTTCTAACACCACCACCAGAGCCTTATTACAATTGTAATCACTTCCTCTTCATCGCTTCTACTACCCTATCAACACATAATGATTGGTTCCTCTTCCTCCTCTTCCTCCAAAAGTACCATGTCTTCTTCCAACATCAACAACTTCATATGTAACCACCACACCTCGGGGTGGTTGGTAAATGAACAAAAAAGTACAACCTCAATAAACCCCAACTAGAGTTGGGTTAGGGTTGATTTAGAACCCAACCTAACCAAAACCAAAATGATAGCACAAGGAATGGGGAGATCCTAACTTTAGGTTGTGTTGGGTTGGGTTGCGTTAGGTTGGGTTTGGGTTGAAGCAAATATACTGATGGCTTGGATCGTGGTTGCCATTGTCAGCTGCAGCTCTATCTATGGTTAGTGTCACCCAACCAGACAACTCAGTATGAAACTGATAATGTCCTTGTAAATTCTTCATGTTTCCCAGATGGTATGCCATAATCTGCAAAAAGGTGGAATGAACCAAAAGACCTAAATGATAGCAATCCCAAGGCAAATAGAAAACTAGCACTCAGTATATTCCAAAATAACTTACGACTCCCATAAAGTGATCATTCTAGGTAAATTTGCCTACTCAAGAAACATGTTATCGTATTTAACACCTTAAATGTCTGAGCATACGAGACATAGCAACATATTCAGGAAACACTTTTTATTACTTACAAATTAATGGTTCAAGCTAATACTAAAAGATAAGTTTGTAATACACTTATCTAATCTCTGAAAGGGCAAGAAGAGCAATGAAAGCTAACATAATAAATTTTCTGATACCAATACAATCACAGGAAGTAATTGATCCAATTGTATAAATATAGAGCACAAATAGGACACCATGTCCATGGACAACGAGTCAAAGAAAGAGCAGCTACCTTTGGTGGCTTGAATGGGTAGTCTGGTGGAAAGTGAATATTCACTAAAAATACACCACCAGCATAGGGGCTGTCAGCAGGTCCCATAATGGTTGCTTGCCAGTGGAACATGTCCTCGCCGACAGGGCCTATCAATGTTAATTAACAACAAGAAAGGTATCGATAATACATTTTGCTGTGGAGACAGTTCTAAGGAATGCTCAACATTTTCTAGTATCTTTAGCATCAACAACACCAATGAGGGAAAAAAGTCAGCATATGCAGGCAACAAACAACTATTACAACAAAAAATCGAGATGGCATATTGATCCATCTGAAAGCGCTGATGCAATCAGGGGAGCAGCAACGTGTCATATGCCAAATTAAGGCAACAGATAGAATTAATACATTTGGTTGAGAATGATGGAAGGAGGCTTCAAGAATAACAAGAAAAAATACATCAAATACATATAACATATGAACTACAGCCACAGATATGAGATGAATTCCAAAATTTGAAAACCTTATTTCTTAATATGGATATGGATCAGACATATGGAAATATGGTACAGACTTTATGAGGCACTAACCAATCATTAGCATTGATATATCAAATAATTGACATCTTTCATTAAAATAATTAATATAATCTGATAACTTGGGTTAGATATAACTCAACCAAACACAGAATATGGGTTGTATTATTGGCAAACACAATTGACATGCGACCGACAGATAATACTCCTCATAGCAACAAACGATCAAACAAAAATAATGAGGCAAAGCAAGAAGAAGGTAATGTCTACATGTTCACAAAGCCGAAGGGGACACATTATATAGAGCTAACCTGCACTGCAAGACACAGGAGGGTCCCTCTCCAAGTCCTTCAGCTCCTTTTGGATCCTCTTGGAAGCCATAGATCAAAGTCTGAACCGAAATCGATCATACACATAAAAATACATGATCAGACTACCGAAACGATGAAGCAGAACACTCGGCATTTACCACAAAAGGATCAAACTCTTCAGAGCGAAACAAAGGGAATTAAGCGATCTAAGACAAATCGACCATATGAAAACAAAACCACCGTCAAAAATCAAGATCGATCATCAACCCTTAGAACCCAGGGAGCGGTGGCCACCAACAGGCCAGAAACGCATCAGAAACGGGAGCAGATCAACCGGTCCGGCGTCGATGACATTATAGTCTAGATTCGTTACCTGGGAAGCGGCCAAGAAGACGTGTTAGCGCGATCACCACCCACGCTAGGGTTTCTTGCCTATCGCCACCGGCGAAGCGAATGGTCGTCAGACTTGCTTTCCTTTTCCTCGAAGAGACCGAGAGAGAGATAGAGATAGAGAGAGACCTTTCGAGCGCCTCGTTATTTATAACGCCCCGAGAGGCGGACACACAATAGTGAATGGTGAAGCAGACACGTCCACCGCTGGTTGGAGATGATGATGCCATCTCGACCGTCCATTTGGAGGACGTGCTTTCGCCACCAAGGATTCCTACCCGCTCGATCACCTGACGCGTAATGGCTGAGGATCCCGTGGAACCCACCAGTGAAGAGCACTAATTGCCTAAATCCTTCTTAGAAATTTTATATCCATCCTTGCTTTTTTAAATGACCAAATTACAAAAAGAGTAGCTGAAAGTGAAGTTTGTATTTTTGTCATATCCAACAATAGTTATTTGTTTAGAAATGTGTTGTTTGTTTTACAATCTTTTCCTCAAGAATCTCTCTTTTCAAAGTCTCTAATTCCTTTTTTATGCTGATAACTTCAAATAACGAACTAAAATTTCCAAAATATTCAATATACTGTTTGGAATATATATTTTCCCACATATGGAATACTTTTGGTTTCCTTATGAGAAAATGAATATGCATGCTAAACAAATTAAAAAAACATACATTGAAAGATAACTAAAAAGAGAGATACCAAAAGAGCAACATGGACTAATTGAGATTCTAAACAGCAGCAGACTTCCCCAGCTAATAAACCATTCTTATCTTCACAATTCTATCAATCTGCAACATAAAACCAACAAAAATATAAGTGTGGATTTGAACACTTTAATAACAGTACAGAAAGTAGGCCAAGGTGGAACAGTTTCATCTTTGCAAGATATCCAGAAAGCTCTGTTTTACTAGGCTCTCACAACATAGGAATTACAGGATACCAAGTCTCACCACTGAACAGTATGCATGGCCACAGCATTTAGAAAAGTACAAATCAAGATTCAGGTAAAAAGGAGCAGCTCCTTCTAGACTGAACTAAAGTTCAAATCCACAACTCAAAGTTCAAAGGAGAGTGATAAGCAACATAATCGAGATAGAAATACAGTTACATCCCAGTTTTCTCCAATCCTGGAAAAGAAAACCATCGATTGACAGCAGAATTCATTTGCTGCACTGCTCCAATCGTCTTCAATCTTCTTCTCTCTCTGGAGGAAGACCGCAGGGCAGCAACATTTTCTGCAAGAAAAGCCATTATATCACCACCCACCAATCACACTGTCACAAGAAAAATTTTGAAAACCACCAAACAAAATGCACAGTTTGTACTTATGACAAAGATGGATCTTATCATCCTCAAATATTTCATAGTATGTTTCTTATGGCAAAAGAGACGTTATGTAATGCCAAAAGTACTGATCTATTGTTCATACTTAAACCGAATTGTTGTTTTTTTTAGTCAAGCCAAACGTTTGTTTTTTTATTGAAAGGATGATAAGATGAAAGCCCAAACAAGTAAGAAGTTTTAATTTCTTTGTAACAAAAAGCAATTTAGTCAGTGTTCGTAAGATATAGATGACAAAATAGCAACAAAATATTTCATAGAATGTTTCTTATAGCAAAAGAGACGTTATCTAATGCCAAAAGTATTGTTCTATTGTTCATACTTAAACTGAATTTTTTTTTTTTAATCAAGGTGAACGTTTGTTTTTTTATTGAAAGGATGATAAGATGAAGGCCCAAAATGTGAGAAGTATTAACTTCTTTGTAATAAAAAACAACTTAGTCAGTGTTAGTAAGATATAGTTGACAAAATATCAGAAGACATAAAAGGATTTTTAGTAGGCTGAAGAGAGAACACCAATTATGTAAAAAAGAAGATTAAACTGATACAAATGAATTAATATTTTACTCATTTACCTTCAATATCTTAAATCCAATTTCACAAACAAAACAAACTAACCCTATTAAGATTATAGCAGGCATGAGAAAAGAACAATTATGTCAAAGAACAGATTTAACCAATGACGATCGAATTAATGATTCATCAACAAAATTTCGAGTACAATCTCTCTCAAACAAACCAAGCAAACCCCATAAAGTCTTAGCAGGCACGAGCAGAGAACACAATTATGTTCAAAAGTACTTGTAACAGATTACAATCGAATTAATGATCCATCTACAAAATTTTGAATCTGATCTATCTAATACATAACAAACAAATCCTAAGTGAGAACATGTTCAGGTTAGTTATCAATTGTGTTTTCGAGTTCCATCCATCATATCGCAACATTCAAAATACTGCAATGGTCCTAACATAGTGACAAATTGTATCTGGTTTGAAAATTTGGATTCACTAATCTTGTGAAATATGAAAACCATTGATTGAACCTGTTTGTTAATACTTTATTGCATTTGCAAAAGTTTATTTTGTTCAATTTAATTAGAAATTCTACTTAAAAGCAGGTATGGGATCAACTCATGTGATTGGGACCACCATAACATGCCAAGCATAAAGCATCTCTATAGAACATGCAACTCCATAGGTTGTTTCTTTCCAATGATATCCTAACTGGTGAGCTAGCCAGGAGTTTCAGACTAAAGTCCGCTGGTTATGACGAAAAGTCAATTACAGGTACCATAACCTGTAATAAGGCTAATCAGTGTTCATTAACTTTGATTATAAAGCAGCAATTGAAACTCCATTTGCTAGAAAATGTTGAAAACATCAAACCAATAAGCTGAAATTAAGTAGTGGAAAATAATGACCAATTTGTTAAACTTATTTGTTATGTAAAAATAAAAGAAGGAAAACAACATCAAAATTTCAAAAAAAAAATACAAGAATAGCATGAATGCAACCTAGTAAATAATTACATGCAAGCTTTCCTGGAAGATGTCACAGATCAATATTGGTGAACCAAAGCAACAGAAAATTTCTCATAGTTATTATTAATACACAATAAATAAAACTAATCCAGAGAATAACAACTCACCCATTTCTGGCAAACTACCACATTCTTTTTAAGGTGTGAGAATTCAGTGCATAGCAGCTTCATACAATGAATTACTGACAAAAAAATGTAACCCATAGTAAAAATAATGGAATTGATGCCTTACTTGCATAAAATTGTAGCGTTCCCTTCCAATTGACTCATTTTCAGAAATGGCAAAATATGCCAGGACAGGGTAGTGACCAATATATGATGCATAACTATCACGTTGGATGTTCACTGCCCATTCACTGTAAGATATACAAAGATTTTATCGAGTCAGATTCAAACATAATAAAGAAGAAGAAATAAGTTTGACCAAAGATTTGGAAACTCACAATCTACTCAAGTCAGCATGGCCTGTTCCAACATATTTAGCTTGAAGATGCTCAAGCTGAGAATTGATATTGAATCTGTCGCTAGCCTGAATACAGCAGAAATTTTGTGGATATTAAGTCACAAAGAAAAATAAGCCAGAAAGAGCAAGTGATTACTGCACCAAATCCTGATTTTATACATATATATATATATATATATATATATATATATATATATATATAACCTAAATTTAAAAGTTTAAGAACAAACATTGCTGTAATTCTCCTAACATGATAAATTAAAATCGGAAATAACACTATGGCACTGGACAATGGAAGTTAGTAAATCAAAAGTTTCAATACGCCAGGCAGGAAGCAATCCATCTAATCTATCAATCTTCTAAGATGCATTTAACTCAGAAATGAAATCACTTTTATGGTCAGTTTTAATCCGAATAAAGAAAAGTGTAAAACCATCTCCACTCAGAATACTTTCGAGCATCAAAATTTAGACACCTCAAAAACTAACAATCAAGCATTTTATAACCGTATATCAACATTCTAGCAACTATGAGTGATCATAAAGCACTCGTAAAGGCATAAAAGTACCACCTAAGTCATTCAACATCCAAATTGTCAGACTTGCTTGACCAATTATCCGGTGAATTTTACCAAAAGCAACAATAAAAATAATTCAAACCAAGCCTAAAGAGCAACGAGATCGAGAAAAGTACTATCAATTCCATCCGTAAGAACTAAGGCGGCGAGTAGAGATCGCAATGGATACCTTCAAATCCATCTTCTGTTCTCTTCGTGGCGGGTGCCGGTAGCGGAGTTCGGCCTGCGACGCAAAAAGGTTCGAGGTTAGGGTTCTCTCTCGGTGCTTTTGAAGGCGACGGACTTCATCAAACACCACTCAGATCGTGGGGAGCAGTGAAAGAAAATTCAAGATCACGAATCTTGAAGCAATATCAACGTCCATGATTAGATGACACGATTGAGGTGGCACCTCCGTGGAATTATAGATCTAATGAAATCAGATTCATTTCAAACAAGTTATTTTGTGTTTGAGGTGTACTATTTAGAATCCTGTTGGTAACTCTCTTACTATTGATAATTCTTTAAAAAAATAAATAATTTATAGTCTCCTTTTTTTTTTTTTCTAACGTCTCTGATCATCATCGTACATCTTGAAAATTCGTCGATGCTCCATCACGTCGCATTCCCTATTATACATTCTAGCATTATCGATGCTCTCTTAGTTCATCTTTCATGTCGTCTCACGCTTCATTGATGCTTACCCCACTAACCCCCACTAACGATTATAGTTTTATGTTTTGTTGACACTCTCTCCTCTCTCATGTTCTATGTCGCTCAATGGTGATATTCTCTTTCTATGCTTCTCTTTATCCTATTGCTTTCACTTATGGTCCCTCCTCTTCTCATGCTCCATCCTTAAGGAAGAAAGAAGCGGAGGAAGAGATAATTTAGAAATATTAAAATATTTCAAGATAGGATTGTAAATAAAAATCAGAGGTTATAAATAGTAATATCCTTTGGATATTTGGTTTATGTATTTCAAAATAATAAAATATGAGAATTGATTGTGATAAACAATATAATCAATTGATTTAAAAAAAATTATTGCTAATCTTAATATTGATTTCGAAATTCATAACTCAAATACAATAAAAATTAGTCATTTCCAAATTGATTTCAATTTTATTGTATTTCCAATATTTTTACCCATTTTGATTGTGACAATGATCCAAACGTCTGAATCAGAAGGGCAAAATAAGAAGTAAATTCTAAATTCTATAATTCAAACAGAAATGACTAAATAAAATTAATAAATAATTTTAAAATGATCAGTAATCCCAAAAACTTAAGCAATTAGGAAAAAGAAAACTAAACAACAGGTGAAATAAAGGACAAATATATACTTGAAATAACATGATAAAAATTTGATAGGATGATGAGTGATCTAAAATAAATAAATTGTTATGAAAACAAAAGATCTAATATATATTAGGTTCAACAAAAAAAATTATCAGCCAAAACAAAAGATGGTTTGAAACAATCTTTGTTCAGATACATTTAGATTAACTGGGCCACCCACAAAATTTGCATCACAAACTGCCAACTTGAACAAAAGAGGCCCTCAAATCCAAAACCAACTTATGCAAGTATATCAACAACAAAACCAATTACAAAAATACAACCGAGTTTATTCATCCAGAGGCATCCATTCCAGTTCTAATTCAATCTCTCCAGACTCCACATTCTGTAGCTTCAGGAGTACCTCCTGCTTTATCTTTCCATCTACAATGTTGATGATGCTGTCTTCGACGAGAGCATTGTCACTTGTTTTCAGCCACTTCCCGATCTGCATGTTTGCAAGGAGCTCAGAATCCCCGAAAGCCATCATGGCGGTGATCATAGGCTGTAGGTCGATCTCTGCCTCACCCATTATGTCATCAGCAGATAAAACGTCGTGGTCGTATACTTGCTATTAAGAGGAGAGAAACTGATGTTACAGCATCTTCATAAGCAATTGTCCATGGCAAACTACCATTATAGTTGTCTTAAAACTCATGTGACAGTAAATTCCATAGCAGATCGATAAACTAAGGCATGAACTCAGCTAATATAAGAAGTGACAAGAATGAGAAGAGAACTTCCTAGCAAGCCTAGAAAACATTACAAATAAAAAACTTCGGATAAAGGAGTGAAGGAAATAAACCCGGAAGCTAAGTCACCACAGATAGCTACACTTCCAAGGGTAGACATCAATTCAAAATCTCAGGAGAAAGAAACATTGAATTGGCTATGATGTTACTCTTCCAGATATTCTGTTCCATGCAATTTCATGCTGCACAAAGCATATCAAGAATTTGAAACAAAAAACGACAGCAACTCAAGCAGTGAACATTTTATAATCAAATATGGTATTACATTTTGATAGGCTCAATGGAAGGAATCACATGAAACAAAATATAAACACTCTAAACCAGAGAGAGAGAGAGAGAGAGAGAGAGAGAGAGGAGAGGGGATGTCATATATGGTGGTGTAAGAGAAACTCATGATTATGAATATGTAGACAAATAGGCCATATCTTTTTTTTGTGCGACTACCATTTCACAGGAACAAAAATAACTCATGACAAGATTTTGAAAGAAAATGGTGAATATCTAACTTTGCTTGAACAAGTATCATTGCACACAAAAAAAAGAAAGAAAATAAAAAATCATGACTTAAAAATAAACAACTGAATCTTCGTAATGTGAACATATAACCATGTATGTACAGAACACACAAAATAATAGTTTATATGAACTAACCAACTTCAGAGCCCCATAGCGTTGTGGTATTGAAAACTTGAGCTCTTCATTCCATACTGGGTTCAAGTTGCTTTTCTTTACTGTTGTCTGGGCTTTCTGAAACAATGAGAAACCCATACACAGTTGAAGATAGAACATAAAGTAACTCAACCTCAAAAACACTTTTCGCTTTAACTAAACTAAACCAATTTAACCACTTTGAATAAGCAAGGATTCATGCTTATTAACAACAGTTCACCTGCTGCCCAAGTATCAAGACAACATATGGATCACTAGTTAGCATATCTCTAACAGCCAAATTCGAACCTCGGACTACTTTGATCTTCAAATTTCCAAGGAATTGTCCCATCTCTTCCTGTCATTGTCCCAAAAACCTCTTCATTAAGAGTACCGACAAAGATAAAGCTAGCTGACAAAAGTACCTAGTATTGATGCAAGAACAGTCACAATAAATGCATATCTATAAGATGCAGAAAACAGAAAACAGACGTGTCAAGAACTCATGTAAGTATCCAAATGGAAATAGGCATGTGATTGCTTACATTTTTCTTTGAACTGTTGGAAGTGATGCTGCAACCCAAATCTTTTCCAGATTCGAGAGTTTGAAAAGACATCTTAGATGACACAATACGCAAGCTTGGTGTCAAGAAGTCTTGCGACACATACTTGGAACTATTGAACCAAAGAAAGAAGTGTTTTTGCATGAGAAATCATCCAAGCATCATGCAGCATAAATCTCTCTACAAAATAATGTACCTGATAAACTTGGTTCGCTCCTCATTACTAGAGTTTGGTTTAGGTTTTGGATAGTCTTTAGGAAGAAAAGCCTCATAAATTGAGTTAGCATAGGAGTTTCCACCAACCTGAATCATGGAATCCATATCGGTTTCAGACCATTCATCCAGTGTCAGAGACAGCACCTGGATGCCAAGAATAGCAAAGGAAAAAAGATCAAAATCCTGAGCAGCCAAGTTATCATATTCAGTGTTTAATATAATGCTGATGTTAGTGCAAAAGGTTAGCACCTCCACCTCCTTATAGGTAAGCAAATGAATGGCTGGATCCATGACAGACAAAGCACCCTCAAGTTAATTTTTCACTTGGGAACTGGAGAAAATCGTACCTATGTGCTTAACAATTATATCCTAACTCAAAAAACAAACTTAGGATTTAGCAGGTACCACCAATTTAGCTATAACTTATGTTGTTTAAGATTTGCAGGTCCCAGAAGACCAACCCTGCTTGAAGGCAAGCAGACATGCAGAACCAAAAACATGAGCCAAGCTTCTACCAGGGTCCAAATTGCAATTAGTTGAAAAAGGATCTGATGCTGAAAGACATCTAAATTTCATATCCCAGACGATGTAAGTAGGAAGTTGTACAGTGCACATCTGCAGAAATCTTATTGTTCCCGTTTTGAGATGATATCAGTCATAAGCATATTTACATTAAATCTCGGAGACAAGTTCTTCATATGGTGATTAACTCGGTATCCAAATTTTCTACATGCACACACATGAAATTGCAGCAGGATCTGTTAGGCCTCATGCTTTTAAGTAATCATATTCAGAACCAGTACATCTGAGAAGGGTGAGGCTTGTGCTAGAATTGAAACTTTGTAATCATGACAGAAAATAAAGTGAAAAAAAACAAGTGTCCGTAATCTATGAAAAGCCCACACTTTCTAAATGTTAAAGGGCATGGTTAAATAACTGAACGCTTATAACACAAATAAATAGATGGATTCATAAGGACAATGAAGATTAATTTAATGCAACATCCAAACAAGGAAGACATCAGACGCCTGAAGCTATACCTTTGAAATTTCTGCACCAAGGCTTCTATGGACCTCACTACATTTTAAGCATATAAAAACTCCAATATTAGCAGACCTGTAGCAATAAGCACCAATTGTTCTAAAAACCATGCATTTTAAATTGTCAGACATCAAAACATCAACTATATGCATTTGCAATAGAAGTGTCATACTTGAGCTCAACCAGTGTTATCTAGATGAATAAAACGACTCTGGCAAAATTGTCACCAAAAGATATTAAAAGCTTAAGCTATAACTTAACATTAGAAACATGGTCTTTCTTCTTTTCTTAAGGGGGGTAAACTTTGCATAACTACTTACAATATTAACAGTAAAAAAATCTATATCATAAAATGTTTCATGATAACTGCAGCAAATTGACAATTTACTGTACTCACGCCCATTTTGGATCTGGAGCACAACAATCAGCACAAATGCGATTGTCACTTCTAATCATAAGATCCCTCAGTTTCTTCCATTTACCTGTTATTAAAATAAGAACTAATTATGACTTAAGACAAGGAAATATCTCCTGAAGTTTCAAATATGTTATTGGTAGGTAACAATGAACAAATAGTATGATGTGCAAAGAAGCATATGCTAGATGAAAACACATGTAGAACTGAATTATTGATGTTTGAAGCTCTGCATCACACTATTTCATTTACTTGGTTAATATATATTGAAACATTATTCATGCATGTACACAAAAATGATGATGTTTAACTAATGGTACAGTACTAACTCTCCAGAGCCTAGTCAATGATTTTTATTAAAGAAAGATCACTCCATGAAATGATTCCAAACATACTGTGACCACAATCATAACCATGAGCAGCAGTCCTTGGCTCAAGAGGACTACGGCTGTTGAATATTTTCATATACAATCACGACTTTATTAAATAGAAGCTCTTACAAATTTCATTTATTTCACCCAGTCATCCATCTCAGGCCCCCAATGACTTTCTCTTAACCAAAGAAATTAAGCTGATGGTTATGCAACTGTGCTTCACTAATGACAAAAGGCAATTGGAGCCTTGATCACAAGGACAATGAATTGCAAAGCAGTGAAAAACACTTTTTCCTGGAAAAGTAGCTATTTTTTTGCTTAAAGTGATCCAGAATGGAAAAGCACTGAGAAGCTGGCTAACTCATGCACAAAGAAATAACCCAACAGAGTGCTTCCACATACACCTCATAAAACAAACCTGATTAGCAGTCATACATTCAGTCAAATAATATTACAAGCAATTATTTCCCATCTTAATGTTTCTTCTTAGACTAAGCTTCCCTTTAAAAGAATACCAAATTCCAATGCATCTGGTATCTAAATGATGAAGCCTACCTATTCAAATTAAATTTGTTAGTCTATGGGTTATTCAAATTTACTTTTATGTACTAATGAACGTATCAAGTATGAGCATTTGAAATGAACAGATATTTAAATGTGTACCTGAAACAGGTTTGTCAGGCCTAGAGTAGCGATTACTCATTTCTCCACCTCAAAAACACCTAAACTTTTGATGTTCAACAAAGGCAACCTTTATTGACAAACGAAAAAGAAAAAATCAACAAACCTTCAACAACTAGAAGTCAAACATAGAATCGCATAACAATTTAAAGTCGACCTGAGAATGAAACAAGAAAAACATCTACGTCACATGACGGGATCATTGGGTGATGAGAGATATATCCATTTCTGGACAGATAAATGGACTAAGAAGAGGATACTAGCAGTGGATTTTCAAGATCTTTATCATGACCTCACACAACTATTCAGATAGAACAAAATCGTGATTTATTCATACAATTTCTTTGTATATATCAGAAAGGTCGACCGCATAAAAGCTAACAAACAAATTCTCCAAGAAATAAAACATAGATTACAAACTCGTCATCCGTAGGAACATGCTTGCCACAGCAAAGAAGCATCCCAGATCAGAAACATGATCCAAGAGAACTTTCTTTTCCGGTCCACCCACAGAGAAAAAGGTCAAAACCAGGAGATTTAGTCTCTTCCTCAACCTAAACGACTGAAAAATCATCTACGAAGCTTGAAGAAACAAACTTTAACAAGCAAGAAAAAATCCGACCAGTTTAAAGCTCGGAATACGGATCGGATCATCAAGAAATCAACTACCAGTCAGGCACATCAAAGTGTTCGCGAGAAATCCTCAAAGAAATGGCGAGTAGAATAACTTGAGCTCAATATTGCACTTAGCTACGGGGGAAACAAGTAGCTATTTGCGAGAAAGAAACATCCCTGAATCGAGATCGAGGAGAAGAGACGGATGGCCGACCCTTTTATCTTCAGTGCATAGAAATTATTAGAAGGGCTCATTTTACCATATTACTCCTCTAATATTCTCTTATTAACTTATGCAAGACTTTGTGAATTACCTTTCAAAATTGCATGTATTTTATTACTATTTTTAATATAACATGTAAATAAATATCCACCAAAATATTATTTTTTAATAAATTAAAAGTATAATAATAATTACATCTAATTGTGATGAAAAAAATAATAACTAAAATAAATATATTTATATTAATTAGATTTTTGAGGGGTTGTTGTAGAGAAAAGGGGTTTTTTTTTTTGTTGCTACCATTGTCTTTTTTCTTTAATTTCGATCCTACACCTAATTGTGATGAAAAATAATAATAACTAAAATATTTCTAATATTTTTAACATCATAATTAACATTTGAAATATATCTATATCAAGTAAATTTTGGATGAGTTATTCTAGAGAGAGGGATGTTTTTTTTACCAATATTATCTTTTTTTTTTTTATCTTGATCCTTAAAATATTGATCCGATAATAATGTATCAAATTCATTTATTAAATATTAAATACTTGAAATCTCATCTGATATATTTTTTTTAAAGACACGACTGATAAATATTTTATCTCGTTTTTGTGGTATTGATAAAAACATTATAACGGAGTCAAATTTTTTTTCAGTCAACCATTCTCATTTACTCCCATCCGATTTTGTTGTTGTTTTTTTTTTGGTGCCTTTCTTGGAAGATATTTATGCAGCTCTCACTCTTATCATACCTATTTTTCAGTAGTGGTTTGCATCTACAATTAAATTTAAGATTCATATAAAAATTAATTTTGGTTAATGGAGATAATTTTAATAATTATGGACTGATTAGATATCATCACAGTTGTTCCTGCATCGTGCAACGTAGTAGGAATGCTACACACAAGCAAGCAAGCATACGTGATGCCCATTACAGTCATTTTTCACGAACTACATAGTCAATGCCATTTCTTTGGTTATATGACTTCAGCCTCAAACACCAACAATGAATCCTCAATGGACAACATAAACTCAGTCGACATCACAACTTAATGGCTTCGTCGTATGTAAACCAGGGAAAACTAATAATCCAGCCACAAGGGCTCGACAGCAGAAACCTGAAGCATAAGAAGAATGTAGGCAAAAGTTGACAGCAGAAACCTTAAGCTAAAGAATTTGCAGTCCTCAAAACACATTACAGAACTGCATCAGCTTTCAACCAAGGCAAATGAGCTTAGAATGGATACTCTACATCAAAGAAAATGGACACTCAAGGCAAATGAGTTATGCATGAGAGCAGTTCTTCAGCATTAAGAGTGTCTAGAAAATCCTCAACTCTGATATATGATATGATGATAGCATGGGAGTTCAAGCTGCATGGTTTATTAAGGTCTCAGCGTCTCAAAGGGGTCAAAAAGCGAATGTCAACAGAATCAATTATGGCCTCACTAGCTCTCTAATGAACTGCTCGACCTGGGAGATCTCTCCCGTTAGCCCAGATGCATCAGCTACCGTCACCTTGTTTTGACAATGAGAAAACGAAAATGCTTCTCCGGGAACCCCAAGGGTATAGTCACTGGTTATATCAGCAGTTGAAATTGCACTTCTTGAGGTACGAAGCTTGTCTCTGCCCAAAAAAAAAAAACATAATGATACTATATACATAGACATTGAAAAAAAAGAAGGCGATGACTTCAAATATCAAATTAAGGTCATACATTTCCTTCTCCAACTGTTTTCTAATAAATTCCTTGGAATGTGCCGTCACTTTGTCTGCCTTGTTGCACAATATCAAAATGGGTATTCTTCGCTTCACTATGATTGCCTTTGTCAGTACATCATACAAGTACCTTGCAGACCACAGTATACAGAAGATAATCAACACAGTAATTCATAAATAAGGACCTGTTGACAAATATAAGGAAAAAACATATAACAGCACAGCTTTACCATTATCAGTCAGTCTACAAATAATGCTTAAAAAAAAAAAAAGCAAATCATATATTTTTATCAGAGCGAGTTGGTGAATTACTCAGCAGCCGCTCGGCAATTTGGTAAGAAATCTAAACTGTCCACAACAAAAATGACTCCAGCCGCATGAGGCAAGAATTCATCAAGCTTTGGTCTCAGTCGTGAATGCCCAGGAACATCAATCAAATGAACTGGATTTAGTTTTCCCTTCTGTGCATATAAAAGGGAGACAAATTCAACATGTACCTCATGTCATCATAACAACACTATAGCATGCTTTAATCTAGTAAGTCCCCAAACCATTACCTTTTCCAGCTCAGAGTGCAGCACAAAAGTACCATCATTTGGTTCCATTGATGTAACAGTACCAAGATGTGGGGAGCCATCACGAAGCTAGTGTAGTAACAATGATAAAGACGATGGTATCAGAAAGCTGATAACAAATCAAGCATGTCTGGTCTATATCTGCATTAGTTATATTTAACAATATAAAGAAATTTAAGCTTTCTCTAAAAGTTTTGACAAGCACCAGCAAAGTTCAGCACATTAATCACTGTAAAGATGTTAGGTTGTTATTATGCAGGACAGCTAGATATTTAACATCTGATCATTTACATTGAGCTGTTTGTTTCGATAATATTTACATACACGTTAAGCTGTTTGTTTCGATAATAATTGCATACACGTTAAATTCTCCTGAACCATGAGAGACAAAAACTAAACATCCTACATAAAAGATAACATGTTGACTGAGCAAACTAGCTAATGATGAGCCAGAAGCTCTATTTATTGGTCAAAACGTTGAACCAAGCATCACATAGTACAATTGGTGTTGCCCTATGCCCATAAAGTCATCTCAGCTAAACAAATATAAGTATGATATTTCCATTATCTTGTGACATCACATAAAAACTTTTGACAACCAAGGCATATGGCATTTTGCTAACAAACAAAGACAGGATATGCAACGCCTAATACTTGATTCTGGAGACAAGATGGTTATAGTTATGTTTATTTGCTTTTAAGTCATGCTACAGTATTCTATGTGCGTTTTTATGATCGTTATACTTGTTTCATACAGAGAGAAACTAGTTTAACAAACTTTTCAAAGTACTGCTTGTAACTTCGTCATGAATTAAAGAATACTTACGGAAAATGTTTAGTATTTGAACTTACAAACCTTAAAAGAGTTAGTGTCAATTAATATAATGTGGGTTGTAGGATAAACAAATTGATCAAATCAAATCATCAAGCTATTTAATTGTGTTCTGGGGTATAATGAATGTCTTACATTTTTGAATTATTTATGATATCCATAATTTTTTTGCTTAAGATAGATTCACACCTCTATGATTTTACTTTGAGGATGTGACAGAGGTAGTATCAGAGCATGATTTAAGAATTTATTTAGAACTTATGTCATGGATTGAAAAGGTGATTGAGATAAAGATCTTAAGGAATCATATCATTCTTTTGATTGAAAGTGATTTAGAAACATCATTCTATTAAAAAATTTACTTGGAGAAATGATGAAGGCTTACCCCCCATCTTTAAGGCTTACCGCTCATCTTTTCATTGATTAAAGAATTTCCTTGGGAGAAATGATATCCATAATTTTCTTGTTTAAGAATAGGTTCACACCTCTATGATTTTACTTTGAGGATGTGACACGAGGATCCCACAAATGTTAAAAGACTCTAATAAGCCACCGTGCTACGTAAAAGCATGCAATGCTCAACTCAAACAATATAAGTTCATGGAGTGACCCTCAACAAATTTGACAGTCTAAGTCTCGTCCCTTCTTTTGCCTTTGAAATACCCTTTTCCCTCATTTGTTATTAATATTTATGAGTTCTTAGCCGTAGAAATAAAAAAATAGATGCCAGATAGATGAATGCTAAAGATGGTTCAAGTGCTAACAAGATACACTTTTGAGTCAGGATTTTGTAGTTAGCTAGATTTTGAATTTTTTGCCAACCCCAATCCAGATCAGGAACGGGCATTCAGATCCAAAACTCTTGTGTTTCTGTGTTCAGACCTTAGCATGGACTGAAATCAACAAAACCAACCACTGAGACTGTCCAAGATCAAATTAATTAATTTAGACATTTATTATTCAATGAATTATTTCTTCAAAGGCTCTTAGATGATTATAATTGGTCAAAACTGCTGAAAATTGTTTTAATATGTTGAAAGCATCAGACTACCAAAGCATGAATACTGTTGAAGCTGCAAATTGTGAAAACTAAATCTCTTTGACACAACTGAAACGACTACCAACGTTAAAAGCCCAACCAACTTTTGTTATAATATATTATATTCCATATTTTAGTTAATTAGAGAATAAACATATCTATGATAATATCACATCAACAACAAAATTTAGATGAATAAATCAAGATTTTAATATTAGTAAGTGAACAATATAGAAATATACCTGGTAAAAAAGAACAGTTTTTCCACTACCACTTAAGCCAACAAGCACTATGGTATTGGACTTTGAGCGTCTCAAGATACGAACTGAGATAAAAAAAAGGTACACAGTTAAATTTAATAGCTCTTCAAGAACGCCAAAGATTTCCTTATCATTGCACTCCTTTGGAGAATCATATACGTCCTTTTCCAGAAAACTCTTGGAGGATATGTTAAAAGCCCAATTTGCACAATAGATTAAATTAATTTCTTCTTTGCATATCTGAGCTTCTCTTTTTCATACTTTTAAGCACAACAGTCAGCTCTTGAACAGGAAAATACCATGTCTAAACAAAAATGGACGTGCAAAGAAGAAAAGAGGGTAGAGTGAACCTACACAACCCAAAGAAAACAAATGTGAAGACTAGAACAGCGAAAGCAACATAGAGTTGCTCTATGGGCTGCTGATGAATCCATTCTTCAATTTGATGTATCCATTTCTCCATATCTACCACAAAACAGAAAATGAATTATTTACATTGAAATATGAATCTAAAGGAATTGAGTAAACCTGAAGTACTTGCAAACAAGTTTTAATTTCCCAAACAATCCCAAGTGAATCTAGTAATGTGAAACATAGCAGCATGATTCAGCCACTAGTGGATTATACCATACATAGATACTACTATTCTTTCCTAATAACGCTATTGGATTGGGTTTCATTACAAGAAGCTGAATGCACACTTTTCTTAGTGATACGGAAAAGCTTGGCATTGCTAGCTTCCCTCGCCACCTGGGCCAGCAATGCCACCTAAGCCAAACGTGGGAGCCCCCACCAACTCCCCCTAGCTGCCAGCAGGGATCTCCCCTGCCTGTCTTGGCTTCCCAAAGTAGGCATGCAAGACTCACTCCTTGCTGATACCGCAATTGAAAAAACTATGTCTCGCATTAATGGCTAACAGCATGCCCCAGCTTTCCCAGCTGCCTCCTGGCTGACATCTCAACAAAAGTCATGCCTTCACATTAATGACTAACAGCATGATCCGACTTTACTAGCCTTCCCTTCCGAACAGCTGATGGAGGAATCACTCCCTGCCTAACCTAAAGAGGCAAGGGAGTCAACCCAGAGGCATCCCAATGGCCCACCCAAGGCGCCAGAGGACACACGCCAGCAAGTCACCCTCACTAATGCCTCCACCATACAGGGTAAGGGGGACCTTGGCTAATGCACGTCCAGACCACTCGACGTGCAAGTATAAAAGCCAAGCCCCAAACCAAGAAGAGAGAGAGGGGGGCAGGGGGCGGCAGACAAAAATCCTATATTCTATCATTTATATTATCTTCCTCTCCCTGTCCATTTTTCGCTGACTTAAGCATCGGAGGGGTCGAGCTGGGATGCCCCTGAAACGGACCAGTTATGTAGGACCCCCGGTTCCATCCAGAGACGCGGCCAGAAGGTGGCTTAGTAGCTAGGAGAATCCAGCTCTCCGACCAGGCTTCACCATACCAAGGCCAGGCCGCTTCCAGTGAATCACCTCCCCTGGCGGGCTCTCTAACCAACTGACAACGTCAGCTTCCCCCATCAGCAAGGAGGAGTCATCATGACGGACCTGCACCTTCGACACTAAACCAATCGGACCAACTCATCCGTTGACGGTCTCTATGTACCAACACTTAGAATCGTTACGATGAAGATGAAAGGGAATAACTTAAAGCAGAAACAGAATGAAGCTTCCATTGCCAGACCCGCAACATCTCCCATTCTGAGAATGAACGTACGCAAAACAATTCTGGAATCTGAGTGGTAGACCATAACGAGGATTCAATGACGACTTGATGATGATAAGTCTGAAACTGATCCAATTGTTAAATACATCTAATTTGTGATTGGTAATGCTATATCTCCAAGTCTCATCTAAGGTTACATGAAAACAAAGTAGCTCACTTGCCTTGCAAAGGAGGTCAAACATCTTCGTTCTGATAAAAATTAAGCCTTGCTCTATACACTACATGTTTGCTCTCACTCAAACAAGAAAGTTACATCAGCGTAATGACGAAGCTTTCTGTTATACCTGTTCTACGAAGAAGGCCACCGGTGGCTGAGAGCGATCGTGCAGACAATGGAAGAACAGCAAGTTTCGGGGGACAGAGGGTGTGGAGAAGGAGGAGCGCCGAAGGAGGCGCGGCAGGGAGGTCCGGCGACGGGGAGAGACCGCAGATCGCGGGATTTAGGGCAAAGAGAAGATGCCGATACATCTGTATCATTCTTCCGCTTTAATGAGTATGAATTTACCTGTATACCCTTCAATAATAGTCCCTTTTGATGGATATTAAAAATGAAGCGTTTTAGTCTTTCTACGTGTTGAAATACCAGTCCGGTTCAATCTTGGCTCGGTTCTTCGGCTCGACCGGATCGGCCACCAAAATGTCCTTTTAGTGTGCATAAATTGATCATATTGCAATTGCCAAGCAATGACTGTCATCGGCAGAATTCGACTGTGTAATTCTCACAAGGGCCTATAGATGGTCCAAGAAATAATCCATATATGTAAACCGGGTTTATTTGTACATTATCCAACCGGTTCATGTCTACTGTGTGAGCCGGCGGTTCAAAGTGACTGTTCAGAACTTGTCTAGTCAAAAGACTTTAATGCCCATCATTTATGTTTCCCTTCACCACAAGTAAAGGGTATAGCAGAAAATTAAAATTATACCGACGGCAAAAGTCGAAACAGAACACGACGAGCTCCCAACTCTTGGCTCGAAGCGTTCTCCAGTCATCCGCCGACCTGCGCTGCTTTGACCCACCCCACCCCTCTCCGTCTTCGCCCCTGACCGGACCATTCGACTGCGGCGCTTCGCCTCCGCAATCGTCTCCGCCGTTACACCGCCACCTTGGTGGCGAGCACACGCTGGTCGCAGCCCACGAGGATGGGTATATCTTAAGATTTCCTTCATAATTCCTGATTTCGAACGGATAAATCCTCGATTACCCGAATTTATTCCGTACCTTAATCTATCATTGATTCTGATCTCATGAATTCTTCTTCAGCCTGTAGATCGATGGCTGCCTCGCAGCTTTATGGATCCGGTTTGGTGGCGAAGAGGAGCATGCGATCCTTGGAGGGGCGTCGGCCTTCTCTGCCGTGGTCTAGGGTTTCTTCTTCCGATTCCGTGGATTTCAAAAGCATGTGTTTCAGAGTCCCTGCCTTTAGAGTTTCCAACATCAGTGGCAGAAAGGTGCGAGTTTATTTGCCACGCCTCGCCTAGTCTATTTATTTACTTGCCTCTTGTCAGCGTTGTTGCGAACTTGAAGAGAGGTGGTGGACTGGTGGGACTGAAGTATTATCATCGGCTTTTAGCTTTGCTGCACAGTTTTCGTATGCTGTTAGGTGTTCAATTTATCCTTAAGAAAATCTCTGACACTGACAGCATCTTCCCAATGCGTGTTTAGCACTATCAGATAACAATGACATGCATTTAAAGATCAATGTATGTACTTTGACAGGTTATTTAGTACCTATGCAAAAATATAACCGGAATGACTAGTTATTGACATACATGACCAAGGGGCAACTAGAAGTTGGTGTTTTTTCTGCATTGTATTTGGAAATAGTTCCTTTCCAAAGATATGAAATGTTGTCTGACTGAATCTCTATTTCTTGTTTTTGATGTTTGTGTTCTTTGATCATGTGATTATAAATTCATGTGTTGTCAAGCCTATTTGTTAAAATTCTTCTTTACCAAACTTCCTTATACTCTGGTCACATTTTCATTGCACAAGTAATTCTAGACTCTAAATTGTTTTTTTTTTCTTTTCATTTGTATGAGGTCCTCCTGCTGATGTGCCATTGTAATTGGGATCCTAGACAAAAGATTTCGTAAGAAACCTTAAAGAAATGTAACTATAACTATATTTATTTAGGTCAGATGTTTTGGTGTTTCAGCTGAAGCTTTCATGGTCTCTGAAATTAGAAAGGAAAAGGGAGAAATTGCAGTAAAAGCAAGACAAAAGCAAAAGATAACTCATTTTGGCTTGTAGAGCTTTTACTTATATTCTGTTTTCCTTTTCTTTATGTGGTGAGTGAGACATTGACTCTTAACTCTTTTCTTCAATTTACAGCTTTCAGTTTCTATGTCCCTTAATGGAACCAGTGCTGGAAGCAATGTTGATGCCAATAATGCCATAAGATATGCAGAGGGTACTAAACCAGATCTAGTCTATGATCCACTTAAATCTAATCCAACTGAAGAATCATTCGATGGGAAAATGGGTATGGACATGCGTATACAGAAGGAGGGCATCATCCCAACCAAAAGAAGTGCAAAATTACATGATTTTTGCTTCGGCATCCCTTTTGGTGAGCCAATCTGAACTGAAGTCCAAATATTAAGCTTATTTCTGTTCATTGTAGAATGTCACTTAAGAAATTGTCAAGTAGGTTGTTTTGTTTCTTGGTGGTTGATGCATCTGTGCATTTGTTTAATGTTTCAGTTTGTTTCGGAGAGAAGAAAAACTCTTGTTTTCTCTTGACTGGGATTTATTTCTTGGTCTCTAAACTGACAAGGAATTACATGTTGATCACAGATAACATACTGATATTTTCATAAATGAGTTTTGCATAGATAAGAAGTGTTTGTCCCTGTAAGTATAGCAAATACTTTAGCTTATTGTTCTTCAGTTTTTGGTACCAACAATCATCATAGATCATAGCTTTGGTATGAAACGACCGATCTCTCTCTCTCTCTCCTCTCTTCTCTCTCTCTCTCTGTATTTGGGTCTGTTGCACGTTCTGTGGAGTCCAATGTTATTTCTGTATAGCTTATTCAGCTTTCTTTAATAAGATAGCTTCTTTAGTTTTTATGACAATCGAAAGCAAGATATATTGTACTGGATAGTTTTTTGTTTCTATTTATCAAGGTGATGTTGCTTTTCTGGTGAGGATTGCTGTTACTTGTAAGGTAGTCCTGCTGTTTGGTTGTTGCAGTTTGTCCTAGGGGAACCATGATACATGAAATTCTTGTGTATGAGAAAAGGCAATTTGTTACTTAGATCTGTTATTGTTTACACAAATCCATATTTTGCAACCCTTGTAATCATGATAACTTCCTTCTGATGGGCTTAGATTATGGCCTCTTTTCTATGGAGAAAAAATTCATTATTTATTATTCAGTTTAACATTTTAAGTAAATTAATTAAAAGAACCTGAGTATCGGTATTGTGATGGATGTGAAGACACAAGCTACATCCTTTCTGATGAGTATAATATTTCCTGTTATAGGTGGATTTTTATTTGCTGGAGGGCTGCTAGGCTTTATTTTCTCTAGAAATGCCATGGCCATGATACATGGTGGTGCTATTTTGGTGCTGAGTGTACTTAGCCTAAAAGTTTGGAGGACTGGAAGATCCAGCTTACCATTTATACTGGGTCAAGCAGGTATGAACCGCAGTTTCTTTATTACAAAATGAATGCCTTTATGCTTAGCCTTTCAACTTCAAGTAATCTTGTTGTGGTTCAGTATAAAGAAAAAATTCCTATAGTTTAATGTCATCTAGGATTTTTTTATGACTGAATGTTTCAAAATTCACATTTAGGACATTATTAGCATTACCAACATTGAGTTTTACATTTATAATTAATCTACCCTTGGAGGTGAGTGGCCAATTCTCACGCTTAGAGGATTGGGCATCTAGCGCTCACACGTAATACTATGTGTACATATATATTTCCATACAATACATATGTTAATTTATAATTTTAAAACTTATATCAATTCTGTCTGTTGTTTTTTAGCCTTCTCTGCTGCGTTTCTCTGGAAGCTTATGCAGGCATACACATTGGTAAGTACCTTATTTGGTTTCGCATTCACTAGCATATAGTCCCAATTACTATGCAGTAATGACTTAATTGGCTTCTTATCGATGCAGTCAAAGAAACTCTTTCCCACAGGATTTTATATCTTCTCGAGGTATTTATCTCCACTCATAAACTATTTGGGACTTGACTTCTCAGAATCTACTGATGCCTGGCCACATTTCTACCACTGGCAGTGCTGCAATGATATGCTTTTATTCGTATGTGTTGATCTCCGGCGGAAACCCACCACCGAAGAAGTTGGCAGCAGCTCCCCAGTCATAAGCCATGAGAATTTGTACAAAAAAACTCTCTATGAGCATGGTAAGATAACCCGATTTACGAGACATTATGTTAGTTAAAAAGATTCATTATATAAACTGATAGTGAAATTATGGAAAGTTTTGATGAAAGCTGGAATATGAATCGTTGAGTATCGTCCTTGCAATTAATTATTTGCATGATGCAGTGTCTTCATTTAAATGAATAGCTTGGTTTGGAATAGTGGAATGATCCTTTTTTCACTGAGATGCCTACAAATCGGAGCATTCAATTTGCAGTCCTAAATTTCAATGATGATGATCCTTGTTATGTAAATCGCAATTACATTGTTCCAGATGCATAACTTGTGTTTCCAATTGCAATCAAGTTCAGGTAATGATTCTATACGCCAGCAACTGAGATCTAAACGATCACAGGCTACGATCTAAACAATGGTGAAAAGATGTTAAGAGAGCCTTTCCTCCATCCAACATCCGTCTCTCTGGAACCAGTTCATGATGATGGGGATATGTTGAAGCCGCGCACGGTCGTCCTCGGTCTGTCCCCCTCCATGCAGCTTCTCCACCAGCTCAATTGGCATGCCCTCGAGTTCCAGCTTCTGCAAGCCACCGAGGTACTCTATGCCAACCGGAATCGTCTTCAACTTGCCACACCTTACCAGTCTCAGCTCACGCAGGCTCTCGAGGGCGTTCTCTTCTACTTCCATTCGGCTGAGGTGGATCATATCACACAGCCCCAAAGACTTGAGCCTCCGGAGCCAACCGGCACGGAAGCACAGCTCGGTCCCGTCGTATGCTTGCATGAGAAAGAGGGACACCAGGTTGGGCAACTCCATGAGCGAAGACAGCGAGTCCTCCTTGAGTCTCGACATCTTTAGGACCAAATGAGTGAGAGCTCTGAGAGAGTCAGGCCACCGAGACGTCATCCCCTTCTCCAGCATCCCGTACAAGCTTAGCTTCCGCAGCTGCGGCGGAGGAGTGAGGTTGTTTAGCAGCAAGGTGTCGTCTTTGTGCCTCGCCATCACCACCAGGCGAACAAGGCGATCCATATTGGATATGGACGCCGAGAGCAACTTGCTGTGGATGGTTCTCACGCCTCTGATGTCCAAGCTCTTCATCTGCGTCAGACTCCGCAGATGCCGGACCGTCGTCTCGTCCTCCACTACTACGGCCTTCAGAGTCTGCAGCTTCTGCAGCTTGCCCATCCCGCCCGGAACGACGACTCCGCCGCCGAGAATGGTGTATCTTGAAGTCTGACGGTGGAACTTCTTCACCATCAGATGCCGCAGGCTCTCCAGCCTTGTGACTCCGCTGGGGAGCTCCTCGACGTGGGTGTAGACCGCATCCAAGGTTTCAAGCTTCCGAAGGCTTCCCAGTGTTTTGGGCAGGTGCCTGACATTGGTGCGCCGTATGCTCAGGTATCGCAGGTTGAAGAGGTGGCCTATCTCGTCCGGCAAGCTCTCCAATGCAGCGGCGCGGAGATCCAAGACTCTTATCAGCCGACACTTGGAGAGCAGCGAGGTGGAAGCCGGTGAGAACGCAAGGAAGGACCGAAGCAGCGGCATCTTCTCGCTCAGCCTCTCATCTTCACCCTGCACGAGGGAGAGTCGCCGGATCCGATCGCTTAAATCTTCCGGCTTGCCGTCGTACGCCTCGGCGAAGTGCTCCTCTCTGGATCTGGCCACGATGAGCTCCCTGACGAGGTCATGAACTCGGCAGAAGCGCACCCTTCCGGACTCGTTTGTGTGGGTGACTTGGAGCAGGCAGCGGCCGACCAGTTGGTTGAGGTAGTCCTCGGCCACCTCCTCCATCGACCTCTGACGCCGCTCCTTCACGAACCCTTCCGCCACCCAGAGCCTGATCAACCGATTTCTTCCGATGAGGTAACCCTCCGGGAAGAGGCTGCAGTGTAAGAGGCAGTTCCTGAGGTGGTACGGTAGATGCCTGATGCTTAGGCTCAGGATTCTGGAGACTCTATGGAGCCCTGTGTGTTCGGTGGTAGACCATGTCAGGCCGTCGTGCATGCTCTTCCATGTCGACTCCGCCCTGTCCCTGTGGGACAACAGGATGCCGATGGCGACGATGGCGAGGGGGAGGCCTTCGCACTTGTCCACGATTCTTCTGGCCCAGTGCTCCAGCGCCGGGGGGCACACGCTTCCTTCCCCCCTCGGAAACGCCTTCTTGCAGAAGAGAGACCACGCCATCTCCTCCGGCAGAGGGTCCACTGTCATGACCCGGCTGCCACCCGCCACCGAAGCCACTTCCTGCATCCTCGTGGTGATGACGACTCTGCTCCGGCAGCTGTTGGCGAGCAGCGCGTAGCTGATGTCCGTCCAGATGCTGACTTGCCACACATCGTCCAGCACAATCAGGTACCTCTGGCGATCCAGATGCGCGCGGAGAGCTTCCACCAGCCTCCTGTACTCCATCGAATCGAAGTCGTCGGCGGCCTCTTCCATCCTCTCCTGCAGCAGCGCCCTCAGGATCTTCCGCAGCAGGTCATCGATGTTGTAGTTTTGGGACACAAAGACCCACGCGCGGCAGCTGAAGTGGCTGAGGATTGCTCTGTCTCTGTAAACTCTGGTCACGAGGGTGGTCTTCCCGACGCCGCCCATGCCGAAGACGGCGACTGCGGTGCGCCGGGGCTCCTCGTCCGTCAGCAACCCGATAAGCCTATCCTTGTGGTCGTCGATCCCCACAAGTTCGTCTTCCTCGACGAAGTGTGCTGATTCCGCTAAATGGTAGCCCGGCTGGGGGTCGTCGGGCAGCTCCGCCAACCTGTGTGGGATTCTGATGACAGGCAACTCTCCGATTCCTGATAGCTGAGCAAGGCTAACTTCCTTGGCCTCCAGTCTCCTGGCGATTTCGCGCAAAGCAGTGGCCTTGGCGTCGTTGGAGAGGCCACGGACGAAGGCTCCCAAGCTGCCCCAGCTGCTACCGGCGACGACGTAGGTGTACTCGTCGACGATGTCCTCGATATCGTAGGCCACATCTTGAACCTGCTTGGCCCAGGAGATAAAGACCAGCTCTTGTTCGCCTCTGTACGTGTTCATGGACTTGAGGAACTCGTGCATCACCTCGAGCTCGCTCTTGATCCGGATCATCCCTTCGTGAACGTTCTGCTGAGGCCTGGCGAGCCAGCCGGGAGGTCGGACTGCTGCAGTGGCCACAGCATCGGTCATCTTCTCGATCAAGCTGAAGACTACAACCTCTGCCATCTTATCTCAAGATCTTCCTCTATCGGAGAAACTGCTACTGTACAAGGCCAGATCAAAGGCCAGAGTTCATCTACCCACCATTTGGCCTCTATAGAGTTGATATTGTTTTCGGAGCATTTAGCTCCAAGATTTCTCCATCTCTCTGACAACGAAAGAAAATTCCTGTTAGACCAAACTCAGCACGAACGGTAAGGGACGAAGAAGAAGAAGTCCAATTTTCTATGCTTTCCTTGATCCTTCACACAGATTCCTTCTTGTACCAGCTCATGTCTCATTCGGTGGTGTGGTGTCGGCAGTCGAAACAAGGGACAGGCATTGCTTTCATCTGTCCTCGGAAGAAAGCATATGATAGGTGACAAAGAGGACTATCATTGGCTTACCCGCAAAGATCTCTCTATCCACACTTGTTTCTTAGTAAGAAAGCGTGGCAAAGGTGACACAGAGTACTACCATTGGCTACCGGTAAAGATCTCTCTATCCACACCTATTGTTTCTAGTAAGAGTCAACACAAGACTCCGAGGCTTTTGATGCGGAAGGATTGTAAGGCTTCGAAGAATCAAGGCCGCATGAAGCGGCCGTTTTGGGTCACCTTCTGCTACTTGGACTTGTTCTTAGGTCAGGGCAGTTTCATTGCAGAAAACAGAGACCGGCATGCTCTACTTGCTCAGACCGTTTGGAAGAAGACGAGAGGAAAAGCTGAAATAGAAGATGAACTCCAAAAGTTGGCTGCTGTACTATTATTTCTCATGAACTAATAATACCATTTATGATGTCCTAACTTTATTAGATAAACGACTCATTAATTTTATTGGGTTTAATCTACAAAGTTTTTTTTCTCCTTATTTCCTCTCTTACTAAGATTATATATATATAAATAAATAAATATAAAATCAAACTCTACACTTTTGGAGTTTGTCTCCCTAACATTGGAAGTCTTTTAGCAATTAAAATCTAAAAATATGTGTAAAATTTCTCTTGCATAAACTTCTAACAAAAACGTAATATAATTTAGTCTGTGTCATGAAAATTCATAGGAATCTTGAAAACAGGAAAAGAAAGAATCCACTGCATCACACAAAAGCAACAAAACAACTGAGAGGGACAACGACAAACCAGAAAAGCCTCGAAGAAGGTCCCATCTTGTTCTGCTCGAACGCCAACTGCGAACTCCGAAGCAGACAAAAGAGGCAGAAAGTGTCTGCTGGAGAAAGATGAGAGCTCGTTGTTCTGCTCGAACACGAACTGCGAACTCCGAAGCGGACAAGACGAGGCAGAAAGTGCCTTGTTGGAGAAAGAAGAGCTGTGTCTGTGCCTTGTTGGAGCCGTAGGCTTTGTATTTAAAGCGTGGGACGTGGTCTCAGAGAAGAAGAAGAGTCTCGGATTGCACGCAAGCAAGGAAGACTTGAAAGGTCCTCGGATCCGAGTGTATGGCAAATGGGCCTCCGCTCGGTCAAAATTATATGTTGACCACCAACTAAACATTGTAGCATCCATCTTATCCCTCTCTCTTAAACTAATTTTATTTCAACAAAATCCATGTTGTCTTAAATTTTTTTAAACTTAGGCCACTGAAGTTTTGGATTCATGAGGATACACAAAAATAATAACCATGAATCATAATACCTCAATTATTTGATATCAAATGCTTAAATTATTAGTCCAAATCCAATAAATGAAATTTAAATCGATTGCGATATATAACATTGGTCGTAGTAAGCTATAATGTCTCAACTATTCAAAACAAGTAATCAAATAATTCAAAGTAGGTGATAGGTGAAGAATAACATATCAGATATAATGTCGTCTAAGTGGTGATACATGATCCATAGATCAATCGCAAAAAAACACACGAATCATACGTGATGAATTGGTGGCAATCGATCCTGAGACATGTATTCATTGTAAGGTGATACGTGACCGAACGATTAACCATCGAAAACTATAATTGATACGACCAACCTTTGTAAGCATCGGATTCGACGATCGTCACACTAAATTTCCACCACGTTCCCTCATAAAATTGATGACTCCGGATATAACCATCCTCAAAATCATATATAAAAGGGACTCCATGTATGCTCCCACATAGACAAAATTCGTTTTGGTTTTGATTAACTAGTTCGATCAGACCGAGTTCAAAACTGACTTGATCATCCAATGTATATTTGTCAGGAACACCCCTAACAGTATGATTAGAACCTACAACTCAATATCATTTCACACAAAAGCTTAAATTATAGTAACCAAAACCATGTCCTACTTGATTAGCTAGAAATTTTTATATATAAGAAAACCATCTGTCAACTACATATGTGGGCTTAAGCTTCTTTGCAGATAATATATTAAAAAAATAATGATAGATTACCTTGTCTAGTGATTAATTGATCTCTATATCAATTGCAGCCTAATATTCTCCAGCCTAGCTTCTTTGCAGATAATTCTACATCCCAACAGTGCTCAGCCACAACAGTCAACCTCCATTTATGATTCAACTCATGCAGATGACACCCACCACCAGCAATTTTTCTGCAGGATATTGAGGGACGCAGCAAGTCTTTTGATTGGCAAATGACTCCAAGAAGCTTCTGAGAAAAATCCAAAAACCAAAAAATCCTTTTGGTCCAATAAGCTGCCCACCTTGGACTGCAATGCCAGTCTTCACCCACATTTTTTGCATTCAATAAATGAGATGAATTAAAATTCCAAGCAAAGTCTATAGGTGTAAGGAGATGTGGATTGCAGACACCTCACTTGGATGAGTCTCCTCCTCAGACAAGGGGTAATACATGTGATTGTGCAAGTGCCAGTAAGATGGTGATTAAGGATGGTGCCTGGAATATTCATTAAAATATTAATTTATATAAAGATCGAAGTTGTGTGAAGTGTTCGATCAGATTTCTCCGATGCTCAAGTTAGCACTAAGATGAAAAGTGAAATCATGGGTAAATAATATAAAATATATATTATTTATTAGATTCATCACTATTATAGTGCTTATGTGGTTGCCACATTATCTGGGCCCACTTCTCATGCTGATTGGACAATCACATGATAAGCTACTGTTTCATGTAAACTTCTCCCCTGTCTACAGGAAAATATCTCCTACCTCATGCAAATTACCTAGGTTTCATTTCTAACACTATCCACTTGAGCATCACATGAATTGATCCTTTAGGTGGATATTGTAGCTTAAGAAATTTTCCCTTCATTCAACAGCATAAAGAGAGTTTTTATATGAAACAAATCATAAATATTAGAGCTTTGGAATTTATGCAAATATATACAAGAGATTTACTCATAATTTATAATTTATTTTCACATCAAGAATAATTTAATTATTCTTTATGAATATTGTAAAGGAACACAATTGTGTTATATTATTGATTATCTTAAACATTCATTTAATACCAACATTAATCACCATCATATTTTTAACATTATCTAATGAGGCAATCATCAGGGCATAGTTGACATCATGTAATCAACCTATGTCTTGTTATTATGGATATAGTTGTAAATATTTTTTTGTTTTTCACTCTTTCTAATATTTTTGCTCACTTGTTCTCCTTTAAAAAATAATTTTTATTAAAGAAAAAAAGAAAGAGGTCTTGCAACTGATGCTGCTCTCATGAGCTTCAGAGAATGGTCATGGTTCATCATGGTTCTACTGATACAAACAAGAACCCTTCTGACTTCATCATCATTTGGATGATCAACTGGCACAAGCTTAAAACCAGTCCATGATCATTTCGGCCAGACTGCTTGTCCATGATCAAAGGCACTTTGGTAAACAGTCTCAAGGTCATCAAACTTAGGGTAGACAAACATGTATCCTTCTGAAATCTCAGCATTTCCAAGTCTGATAACACAACACAAGCATTGTGCTAAGACAATCCCAGAGCCTATACAAAACCTAATTATAAATTGTTGAACCCTAATGTTAGTTCTGATATCAACAAGAATACAAATTTACTAATAGTTGAAGGAGGTGATAAAAGAAGGTGAAGAAATGGACCAATTTGGAAAGGAGGGCTCAAGTCATGAATGCATTAACATCTAATTGGCTTCGGCATCATTGGCTTTGCTTGCAACAGTTGCTTTTAGTAGCTTGTTGACAATGGACACAATTAGCAACTCAGTGTCTTGCTTGTGAATCAAGAAATCAAGAAACCAAATAAGTGAAGGTGGTAGCTGAACACACAACAATCATTTCTATCAAAACCAAACTTCCAAGTTACAACTTTCAGAAAAAAGAATGATTCCCAATGCACGCAGAATACTTTCACATCATTCACTTCCTCTAAGACACCATTCTGTAGTGTATGACATAAATCTCTAAATGACGAGATATGTGCAGACATGGCAGGATAGCAACATCCTAAACATTCCTAATCCCTCTATTGTTCATACTGTTATCATTACGGGTAATGTGTGGAGTTCAAGCAAGAAGAAGAACCTGTGATGATTCCTTCTTTCTTCATGCATTGCAGCTCTTGCTGTACACGGCGGAGAGCGGCTGGCGGAGGGCGGAGGACGGAGCTCCAGTAGCACTCAGCGCCGCCGTCGGGATCCCCGTCGGACGGATCCTCGGGGAGGCAGAAGGGCTCCGGGGCGGCGGGGTAGAGCCGGTCGCCGGGGACCCCGATGGCGGCAGAGCAGCCGTCAACGAGGGAGGAGAAGAAGACGTCGCGGAGGTCCCACTCGTCGGGGGGCTCCGGCACCATCAGGCGCTCCCCCTTCTGCCACGGGAACTCGAAAAGCCCCGGCGGGCGGGACACGTCCATGCGGCGGCTCTCCCCCGTCTCGCCCCGCTTCCCCTTCTTCTTCGCCAGCTCCGCCGCTGCTACCGCGATGGGCCCTCCCTCCCTGGGCTCCTCTCTGTCTCTCTTCTCGACGTCTCGATCCATGAATCGCGCCTGGGCAATGGCCGGTTGTACGAGAGAGGTGAGGCGAGGGGAGGAAGATGTGTCTGTACGGAAACGGCCTCAACGACTCACGACGCGCTCTCGCCTTTCCCTTTTCCGTTTGTTTTATTTTTATTGGTTTTTTTTTTCTATTTTTTATATTTACTCTCTAATTTTTATACGCAAGAATTAATCATCTGATCCGTGAGATCAAATCCGCACCGTCGATGTTAGGCTCCGTCATAACCCGAAGAGCATTCTGCAGACAATCCTATCGTTCTGGTCAAACAAATCTGATCGCTGGTCAACTGAAGTCCCTCCAGACTCTGCTCCTAAGTTGCCATTCAACTCTGTTCATGCTGACAATAGCAATTCTCATCCATTTGTGGTAAGAACAGAATGCTGTGTATTATGGATGCAGATCTTCCTTTTTCCAATCAAATTATACATATATATTCTTCTCGATCTAAAGAATGCACACATTTTGTGATGATCAATCCTGTACAGTGTTTTCAGCAACCCCTGTATACAGTGACACCCAACCAGAGAAGACGAGATTGCGAGGAACTCACACAAAGCATGTACCATGATCTCTCTGTCATCGATGGTGGACTAGAAACCTTTCCAGGCAGCAAGAACTTCCTGAAATATTTCAGCTATGAGCTCCCTATCGGCAGTCTGCAGGAAGACACTGAAATCTTCACCGAGCTCATTGATCTTTCCGAAGGCCACCAGGTACCTCATGCAGCTGCTCTTCAGCTCAGGCAAACGGTGGAGGTGGGCGGTTTGCAGCCTCTCGAGCACGTTCTTAGCATCGATGTCTTCCAAAAGGCTCTCGTGGCACGCCTCCTTCAGGTCCGATAGGTCATACTTGTCGGCCGCTCGCAGGAGTGCGAGGCGGTGGCCGAGGAACTCGTCGGCCTGGAAGTTTCCGTAGATGAAGTCGAGGAAGGCCCGGCAAGCCTCGAAGGACATGTCGCATATGTCGACGGCAGAGAGTTCCTTCTCCTTGAGGTCGTGCGAGAACATGCTGCGGAAGACGGGCGACCTCGCCGCGAGGACGGCGCGGTGCGAGCCGATGCTGCCGTCCCTGGCGTTGATCGTGATGTCGGTGTGGATGCCGTCGGCCAGCATCCGGCCGAGAGTGGTGAGGGCGGTGGCCGCCGAGTGCTTCGCGACCTGGTAGCTGCCCCAAATTGAAGAAGGCTCGCCACCCTGAAGTCCAAGAACATGAGAAAAGCCAAAGACAATGCTGAGAAATCTAAAGATTAGAGTTCATGAGCGAAATGCATGAGCATACTGATGACGGCACAATCTTTAGATCAAGGAATTCAACGTCGATTATGAATCTGCCGGGGAGCAGGGTGTCGATTGCCCATACAAAGTCGTCGCTGTTCTTCAGCTGCCTGTCCC